AGAAGGGTGTGCATGTTTGGATGTGCATTCAGGATGGAAGTTGAAGCTGCTTATTTTCTTCTTCTTCCCTAACTTGAGTAACGTATAACTTAGTCTCCACGTTTCATTTCCTTCTCAGATCTTTGTGATGAAAATGGAAAACACCAAACCCTATAAAACACACACACACACACACACACATCCTAAACAAGCAGAGAAACCTGGTTGAGTGCCAGCCCTTTTAGCATCCAGCTTTAGCTCCAAGTGAATACATTACAGATGTGTTACAAGATCCCAAAATGAAGGCTTTACAGTGGAAATGCTGACAGCCCCCCTAAGCGGAACAGCACACTGTAATTAGCGTTCTTCGGTGAATGTGCCAAATGAAGCCCAGCAGTGCTAAATGTAACAGCACAAGCTTTTTGTTGTACAGCTGTATTAGGATGTGCATTCTGACAGTAAATCGCACTCTGTGGAACGTTGCATGTGCTGCTATTCTTCCACAGATCTAACTGTTACCACTTACAATGGAGGAAGGGTGAGCAAGCGCACACCTTTTTCTGTCCATTTCATCTGTAGCAGCTTGTAATTGAAACTGGAGGGCAGCCTGACAGGTCTTGTGTCTAGAGCAGGGCAGTCCAGCATGCAGCCTGGGGGCCACATGTGCCCCCCAAGGCCCTTTTTGACAGCCCTCTGCAGCATTTGACATACATACCCCAGCCCTCAAGCTGCCTTCTCAAAGCTGGATAAGCAAAGTCTGCGCTTTGGGAGGGAGGTGTGCGGGCTCTGACAAGGACTTAGAGTCCTCTGGCTTCCTCCCCAAAGTCTAGCTAGGACTTGCTCTGAACCAGCTTTGGGAAGAAGGTAGGAGGGCTCTAGGACCTAGCTGGCTTTTGGAAGGCAGCACGAGGGCTTTAGGGCATGGGGCTTTCACATTTTGGTCTTGTGCTGCCTTGCACCTGTGCAACAAGGCAGTGTATGACCCACAGGTTCCATGTCGAAGTACTCTTTCAGCCCACTTGGTATGAAAGGTTGGGCTGCCCTGGTCTAGAGTGTGTTTGAGGGACTGCTTGTACTGTGTCTGCAGCATGGCTGATTCCTGTAAACTGCCAAGTGCCTGTGCTTCTTCTCTGCTCACTTTTCACCCATCCTGCATGGCATGGCAATTCCACAGGTATTTCAGGCTGTGCAGTCAGGGCCGTTAATTGACCAAACCACTAGTTTGTGTAAGTCTGTGCACAGCTCATCAAAGATTGGAAGGGAATATGACAGAGTAGCCTGTGGGAGTACATGTTCATTTTTTGTATCCCAGTGTAGTCTCTGGTCAAATGGATTTTGCGGGGTTTTGAGGGTCCAGAGATAGTTGAGTGAGCTGTCATTTTGAGTGAAATGACAGAAATGCCTGACTTTTAGAAAGAAGTCTCCTAATGTCTCACAGACCTTGTTAAAATCAAGCATTGAAAATGAAGTAATCACAGTCCCTTCCAGGATGGCTAAGCACTTCATGAGTTGCACATGCAAAAAGTAATTTGCCCATATGTTACTGATGTATGCATAACTTATTTGGTGCATTTGAGAGGCATATCTGTTGATTACAGTGAACACGGTCTTTTCTTACTGAGTTAAGGAATGAAATTATTGATTGCATTACATTCTTTGACCTGGAGGCATGTGTGTTACGGCTACACATCTTGGTGTATGGTTGGGATTTGCCAGGAATATTTGTGTGTTGTAAAGACTGTTTGATATTGCCTGTCTCTGGAGTAGGTGGTGAAGGGAGGGGAGTGACTATGGGCTAGTTTAATGAAAATGCAAAAACAATACTGAAAATGGCAGCTGGTTCCCCCATGTGAGAACAGCCTGGTTCATCTAACATATTTTTCATATGCCCATGTATCTCATTGCATGAAGTAATTTGATGGTGCAGGGTGCCTGTGAGAGTTTGTGATTTTCTGCTTTTACCTAGGATGTGGGGGGCCAGCAGTGTTACTAGCTTCAGATTTATCAGGGAGAAGGCGGCCTTTCATTTCAAGTGAGCTGTCTCTGTAGCACTATATAAAATAAGGAACTCTTGAGGTGATTTCTCAACTTTTTCGAATATGACAATATATATGTTGAGGTGAGTTGAACAGAGCTATACACAGCATTCCAAATGCAGTGGTGCCATACATTTATATAATGACATTCTGACACTGGCAGTTTTATTTTCAGTTCCTTTCCTAATGATTGCTAGCATGGAATTTACCTTTTTCACAGCTGCCTCATACTGTGACAACATCTTCCTCAAGCTCCACTATGACTTCCAAGATCTCAGTCCTGCTCAGTTAGTATAAGTTCAGACCCCATGAGCATATATGTGGAATTAAGATTTTTTGTTGTTGTTCCAACATGCATCACTTTACACTTGCCTACATTAAAATTGCATTTGGCATTTCCCCGCCCATTCATATAGTTTGCAGAGGTCCTTTTGGAGCTCTTCACAATCTCTTGTTGTTTTAACAACTCTGAACAATTCAGTATCATTAGCAAACTTGGCCACCTCACTGTTCACCTGTGATTGTTTAATCAAGAAGAAGTTTAATGAAGAAGTTAAAATGCACAGATCTCAATACTGATCCTTGGAGGACTCTCAATCAATCAAATCTTTATTACGGCCATAGATCAGCATAAGGGGGGGGGTACAATCATTTAAAATCTGAAAAATGATTTGAAAAACTAAAAAGAATTAAAAGTCTATAAAAATCTAAAGGAAGCTAGCAAAGTCTGAAAGAAGGGTTAGGAACATTAGACGGGAGTGGCAGATCATAAGAGGTTAGTATATATAAGACTATAGCTATCAATCTACAGAGCACTCTGATATGAGTGCTCATTAAAGCTAGTTTGCGGCACAGGACATTGTCCGACGAATTTTGAGCGCTGCTGTGCGGAATCTGGCAACATTGTATGTTGTAGCAGGGTTGGTATCTGAAAGCAATTAGAAGGTACATATAGAATTGTCCTGTGCACACCTTGCAGCAGTGTTGGAGGACTGTAATTTCTACACCCTTCCATTTGGAGAACTATCCCTTTATTTGTACCTAACCACAAGAGGATCCACAGTTACCTCTTAGCTTTTGCTTGCATGGCTGTATGAATACATCCTCCAGAAATACATACTGGCAGAAAGAACAATGCTTGTGTTTAATTTTCTGAAAATCTTGTTTCAAAAGATATGCTGATTTTGCAACATGGTGGGATCTTTATCTTCTTCTTGGCTTTTTCTTTCCTGCTGCAAGGCACCTGGCACAAGAGAATGTGAACCCTATGACACAGGGTGGAGAGAAGGAAAAGATTGGCAGCAGGTTTTGAAACCCTTTTCCCTTTAGGCCACTAGTTTGAATCCAAGCTACCTATGCTATTAACATATGAAGAAAGGACTTAGGAAATTCTATTGGAATGGGAAATGATCTTGTGAAAAGAAATGCTGTTGTAACCAGGCACCTTCTTGGGTAAATCTGGGCAATCGGCTCCCACGGGTGTCTTTAGGTGTTCCTTGAAGCTGGTTAGCAAGGCTAAGTGTGGGAGACTTTCCTTGTTTTGGAAGGCTGGAATCCCTAGAGGACAGCTTTTAAAAACCGTGAAGATTAACAACTGTGCCACCCATCCCTACAGGCTTTTTGGAAATGTGACAAAAGATATAAACCAACTATTGTAACTAAAAACAGAATAGTCAACATTCAGTCTAGTAAAATCTTGCAAATAGTATTGTTGGAGGAATAATGTATGTGCACCATAAATAAAAGCCAAACACCACTTTGCTAAAGCACAAGGGAAAGGAGCATTGACAACATCATGGTGCAACTCTATAGGAAGCCTTTTGCTAGCATTTATTAATACATTTTCTGCCATTCGCTGTTCTTCTGACCCAAGCCTACATGAATTGCTCCCTCATGTATTTGGCTACTTTGCCACTGTTTGGCAGGCAGGATTCAAGACCCAGATTGGCAGTACATGAATGTGTGTGATGCAATGGGCAGGTTGTTAGGTCTGGGTGTACAAGTCTTGGGTTCAGATTTTTGCTCTTCATGTATAAAGCTAATTGGCTGGGCTTGGTTAAGCTATTTTATCCAGTCTTTAATTGCAAATATGTGATTGCAGTGAAGTGATTTTTTAAAAAACTGCTGGTAATTTGTTTAGAAATAACTCTTACCTGGCTGGGAATATTGGATTCACAGGCTTCAGGCAAAGGAAGTATGAGTCCTATAACCTTAAAGGAGGGACGCAGGTTGCGCTGTGGTCTAAACCACTGAGCCTCTTGGGCTTTTTGATCAGAAGGTTGGCGGTTCAAATCCCCTGTGACGGGGTGAGCTCCTGTTGCTCTGTCCCAGCTCCTGCCAACCTAGCAGTTCGAAAGCATGCCAGTGCAAGTAGATAAATAGGTACTGTTGTGGTGGGAAGATAAACAGCATTTCCATATGTTCTGGTTTCTGTCACAGTGTTCCGTTGTGCCAGAAGCGGTTTAGTCATGCTGGCCACATGCCCCGGACAAATGCTGGCTCCCTTGGCCTGAAAGAGAGATGACCCATAGTCGCCTTTCAATCTGAATGCTTTTACATATCTCTTGGGGAAGCTACATCAGACACGCAAAAGGGATTTGGGTGGGACCAGCGTAGTCCATTGCTTGGTAGTTTTCTTTTTTATCTAACCTCCCTCCCAGTATTTCCCATGCTTTTCTGTTGGTTTCAGTTACTGTGATAGTTCTATAAATCTCCTTCACAAAACACTGGCTATGGACCAGCTTGTTGTTGTTGTTGTTGTTGTTGTTGTTTTGTTCTACACAGAACCTACTAAATATGTCTGTCATCTGCATCAAGAGAACAGCTCTTGACACTTGATGGCATCTTTGCTGATTATGTGCATCTTCCAGTCTCCACTGAAACAATATATATTCACACACATGCACACAAATTGAAGCTTGTGGTTACATGAAGTTGAATTCAATCTGCATGAATCTCATTTTCTTTTTTTCTCTTTTTGACTAGGTGACCTTGGAGAAAGTGCTGGGAATCACTGTCTCTGGAGGCAGAGGATTGGCCTGTGATCCAAAGAGTGGTCTCGTTGCTTATCCAGCTGGGTGAGTCATTGAGGGTGTTACACAAGGAATGCACGTTGTCAGCCTAAAGGTACAGCTTATGCCAAATCTGTCATGTAGCAGAGTGATGCATTTTATAAGAGCCTCATAAAACTCCCTCCAATTATGAGGAACATCAGCAGGGTAGGTTTAAATTGCTGCAAGGAAGACTCTTTACCTATCATAACTAATTAAATTATTCTCTAGGGTTCCTCCTCTAGCTCTTAGCTAAGTGTTAATTTTTAAAATATAATAATAATTGGATTTGGTACTATGCTGAACATGGACATGATGAAAATGTGAAAATTAGATGGATTCTGGCTGCCTGTTCAATCAGAAGATGCTCCATAAGACTGCCGGGTAGTTTTGTGATGTGTGAAGTTTCATGGGCAGTGGCTCCTTTATTCATGCAGACAGAGAGAACCTGGTCACTCTTTTGATTCTGGAGCTTTCACTGTTCTTTCCAGCTTTTATTTAAGTGGGTCCAAACGATTCTTATTATCTCAATAATAATCTAGAGATAAGCACTAGTATGTGGCTTGGGTTGACTTGTTCTCAGTAAGGGTTAGATGCAGTGGCAAAACCTTCCAGTGGTGACTGTGCAATGCTGCTTTTGTTTGCCCTTTCTGAGTGAATCTTCTGTTAAGATATATGTACATGAGAGGGAACTGGAAGAGTCCTGGGTCCCACAGGCCTCTGAAGCAGAGGCAAGGCTCTTCCCACCTGCCTTTTCCCTTCCAGGCTCCTAAGGACAACAAACTCGCTCACCCCTTTGAGGGAATTCAAACTGGCTGTGCCCTTCTTATAAAGAACTGTATCTTTGCCTGCCCCTGTTTTGGCAAATGGGGATGTAGGCCAGGGCTTGGGCTGTGCTGGTGGCGAAGCCGATGGAGCCGACGGTGGGCTTCCCTCGGATCCGCCCCTTGCCCATTTAAGCAGCCAGCACCTGGGGCTCAGCCTGTTTGTTCCTGCGCTGGGTTTCCCCGCCCAGTCACCCTCGGTTTAAGCTGATAGCCAATGACTTTGGTGTGGGTATGGTGGTTGCCATCCTTTAAGGGGCTGGGTAGGAATTTGCTCATTGGGCTAATTGGCACCGACCCGGTGGTTCTGCCTACCACATAGCAATTGTCACAACTGGTTGGGCATTGGGGCAATCCTTTGCTTTGGATGGAGGGGGAGTTGTAGACTCTGCCTGCCCCTCCAAATGCTGGGGTATCCCCTTAAAGGGATCTGGGGGTAGTGGTCATGTCCACACGCCCAGGTGGGGCCAGGGCTGAAGGCACTCCCCCAAACAGCGGTCCCTGGGGGGGTCACCCTATTTGATATAAGTCTTAGGACCCCCTGTCTGGATTGACCACGCGTCACTTCCGCGGGCGGGCCGGAAGTATTTAGCTTGCCCCATGCCCAAACCTCTTTCAACTTTATTCAATAAAGTTGGGGCCTGTTCTGACCGAAAACCAGTCTCATTGATCTCTTCTTATTTGGGTTGGGGTATGGGAAGTCTGATGCCTGGTCCTGCAAGCATGCTGGGGTATAACCATGGAACTGAACAACTGTCTCTGGTGCTCTTGAACCTTGTCATCCTTGGCAGAGGGATTTGATCTCTTTCTGCAGGGCCTGCAAGACAAAGCTGTTCCGCCAAGCCTTTCTTTGGCCAGGGTACAGCCTGACCCCCTCCTTTGGCAATTTTCTCAGAACTCTACCCAATGGTTGCTTTCAATTTGATTTGAAGTAAAAAAATTTTTTTTAAATGAAATGATTTTAAAATGTTGTCTTATTTTATTGTTGTTAGCCGCCCTGAGCTATAATTATTGTTGTTGTTGTTTTGGACAGTCAGACAAAAATGAGGACAGGTGGGAAGCTCCCTCTTCCTCTGAGAGACCTGATGCTTTTTGCTCCATAAGTGGGGAGTCGGGAGTTTAAGAGGGGTGAAGTACGTAAGTCCATGTTGGAGGCAGATCTCTGGGATATTCAGGAATGCCTGAGTACAGCTTCCCTGTATTTTTATCATGTGCATAAGGGAACAGGAGCTGGAAAAGCTGACAAAGGTGATGCTGAGTGCCGAACAGTGATTGTAGAGCTTGATAGATATTTAGTTTGTTTTGGCATTTAGTTTTGCTAATGCATCTGGGTGCCTATAATTAGTTTGGAGTGGGAAGAGAAGAAATTGAGGCCAATCTTAGAAAGCTGCCGGTTTGGCAACAATATGCCTATTAATGCGGGTAGCACAGCAATCATTTTTGTCATAGCTAGGCTTGCCATGTGACTGCCGTTGAGAGAAGCTTTTGTCACCCTGTGTGGTTTTTAAGCTTACTGTCAGTGCTTAGCGATATTTAATTTGCATACATTTAAATGAGCTACTGTACAATTTGCTCACATGCTGGGCCCCCAGAAAAAAAATTGGTTCCTAGGATGTGGCTGTGGAATCTGAGGTATGGGTGTAAGAAAAGGTCTTGGTACGAGTACTACTGTCGTCTACAAGTGCTTAAAAATTAAAAGCCACCAAGATATTCCAGGTCCAAGCCAAAACATCTACCCATGGCATTTCTCTGCTGCTCTTTTAAAGTTCTGTAAACGCTTTACACGAGAGTTGCAGTCTAAATGCTGAAAATGTTAAATTTGAGGTGGAACTGGAGGTGTCCTCACTTTGGATGTTTGAGGGAAGCTAGAGGAATGCTGATAAGATCACAAGATAAAAACAACCCACTGTTAGAGCATGGAGGAGATGAAAGAGAGCCCTGTAGCAAATCTAAATGAGGCAAGGCCAAGCGTACTGGAATCTTCCATCTCCCCACCCCAAAGGAAGTGTGCAGGAATCAAAATTTTGTGCTTGCTTTGAAGCCATGTCTGATATCCCTTGTTCTTGCCTTTTGGAGAGATGATGGCTCTGGCATGTCTTGCTTCTGCTGCAAATGTGTTTTTTTTTATTTAGGTGGATTGTCCATAGCAATAAGGTGGAATATTCCCTGCCATCATTATTGCAGTCATCCAGAATGCCTTGCTGTTTTCTCAATTATTTATGAATGGCTTTTGACTACGTGTTGTTGAAGGCATAGAAAGAGCACTGCTGGATCAGGCCAAAGGCTCATCTAGTCCAGCATTTTGTGCTTCTTACAATGGCCAACCAGATGCCTATGGAAAGCCTGCAAGTAGCATCTTAGCGTAACAGCACTCTTTTCATTCCCAGAAACTGGTTTCGCTTAGAATATTATGCATTTGCTGTTATAAAAGTGTGATGATTCTTAGCCTTACTAATTGAATATCTGCTCACAGTAGATTTTTGTGTGGAAGTTTTAAATGCTGGAGAGGTGGTTGCTTTACTGCTTTGGCGCAGTTTTGCTTCAAGTCAATGTTTCTTTTTGATTCTCTCTCAGTGGGCATGTATGCAGCTTCATCCCCCTACACAGTAATATTTGGGTTGCAGTAGAATGGCATGAATTCTTTGTTTTCCATTTGATAAGCAAGCATGTGTTGCAGGTGCGTGTCCTTCCTTTGTATTGTCTTAAAAATTCAAGCTAATGGCATTTTAATAAAGTGGGGAAACTTCAAAATTCTGCTGCAGCTTTTGGCTTTTTCAGAAGTGTGAAACTGGTAAGAGGAATTTCCTGTGAAGTTTCTCTGAGGCATTTCCTGTGAAAATTAAACAAAAACTAATTTGCTGGCAATTTCCATCATCAAGAAGAACGTATGCCAAGTCTGAGCCTAATAAGTAGTGCCAAAACATTATTTTGACTCTGTTTGAAATGATTTGGGGAAGTTATGTGGTTAAATGATCCTGCTTAATGGAATCAAGGTGGTATCTTTCCCCCATGGCCCATTGCATAGGATTCCTGTCTGAAGCCTAGCCCTTCTGTGCCTTGGCTGAACAGCCGCCTGCTTCCATGCTATGCCTAGCTGCTTTGTGATGCTGATAAAGTTTGCCACTGTCAAGACAACGCTTTGTGTTCAGTTTATCCTCTGCAGTTGTATTGGCCCAAAACACACAAGAGAAACAGTTTGCAGACCTAATTGGGTTGCAAGGTCAGTTTGTTTTATTATCTTGTTCTCAAGGGATTTATACCTTCTTGGCAGTATGCAGGGAGGAAAGAAAAAGGGGGGAAACGGCATTGGCTTCTGTCACTGGCTTCTCTTGAGTGTTCATTCTGAGGCTTCCTTTAAACTCTCTCTCTCTCTCTCTCTCTCTCTCTCTCTGGCAATGGGAAGCAGAGCACTCATTCTTCTTGATGTGCATTTTGCTGTCCTGAGCCAGAGTACAGTGTCCTTGGCCCTGCATGGGTGCCTGCCATATAGCTCTTAGCATATGCTTCAGTTCTGATCTGTTCGTCTCCAGATACCCTGCTAGTTGACTCAACATTAATTTAAATCACAGGGCAGTCTCCAGATTCAACTCCCTTGCTGCTCTAGCCAGAGGGCTAAATTATGTAACAGTGCTTTATTTTTTACTGTGTTTGAAAGCACCAATTTTTATTTAACTGTTAACATGGATTGATCCTTCAAAAGTCTCAAATCTCATGAAAGTACCACCAAAATAATGCTATTATGCTGTCAGATTTATTTCTGTTTTCTCTTTTTCTTTAAATGTATGTGAGCTACATTACACTTGAATACTGTACTGGCTTCTGCTGAATAAAAGTGCAAATCCTAATAAAACTAGATTTGCAAGCTATATTTGTTTTACACGCAATTGTTAAATGTCAGGTGGGCGATATTGAGGTTTCTAGGTTCAGTAACAGCATCTGCTGGGAAAACTGCAGTGTCCCCCCCCCCCAACCTTCTTTGGGATCTGGCTCTCCTGCCTATTTGACTTGAACTTGTGCCACAGGGTGTTCATGTGCGTTACTTACAAAAGACAGTCCTCTGTTTGAAGGATTGTCCCGTTCAAGCCCATATTAAAAATACAGAATCCTTAAGAAGGGAGATCATGATCCTTGAATTTGCCCATCAGCAGGACAGTGGACAGAGGAGGCACAGAAGTCACTTTACCACAGTCTTCCCCTCGATAT